CCAATAACACAAACCTGCAACTTACCCCAGATCTAGCAAATATAAATAAGGAGAGTTGTCGAGAGGCCTGTGCTAGCAACTGCTCATGCACAATAGCTTTTTTCCAAAATGATTCAAGTTCTTGCTACTTAGGGCCTGTTTAGTAATATTTTTATTTCTCTGTTTTTCTGTTTTTTTGTTCTCCGGAACAGAAAAAGAACAGAAATCTGTTTAGTAACATCAGTTACTTTTTCTTTTCCTCGGAACAGAAAAGTGATCAGGTAATAGATTTGGAACAGAAATAACAAGTAAAAAAAATCTACTTTTCTATTTCTGGAATAAAAAAAGAAATAATAGAGAAACAAGATCAACCCTTCTTCTTTCACAAGATATTCTCATACTAAATCCTAAAACTTCAACTCTTAAACTCTCAAACCCTAAACCCCAAAATCCTAAACCTTAACTCTTAAACCCCAAAACCTTAAACCTCAATACCCAAACCCTAAAACCCATAACACTAAAATGAAAAACCCGAAACCCTAAACTCTAAAACCTCAAATCCAAAAACCCAAACCCTAAACCTTCTAAATCCCAAATCCTAAACCCAAAAACACAAACTTTAAAATCCCAAACCCAAAACACTAAACTTTAAACCCTAAACCCTAAAACTCCAAACCCGAAACCCTAAAATCGTAATTCTAATCCCTAAATCCTAAAACGTTAAACCATAAAACTCCAAACCCTAAACCCTAAATTGTAAACCCTAAACCGTAACCCTAAAACCCCTAACCCGAAACTCTAAAACCTAAACCCCAAACCCTAAATCATAAAATCCAAATCTAAAACCCTAAACCCTAAACTTCAAAATTGAAATCCTAAAACCCTAACCCCTAACCCCAAATCCTAAAATCATAAAATTCTATACCCTAAACTGCAATTTCGTCGACCACCACCTGATATTTGATTTGTCTATAAGGAGTAATTTTCTTTATGATTGTATTAAGGTCGTCCAATTCTATATCATAATATATTTTTATTCTATTTCTGGTTCAATTTATCCAAACATGAATTATTAAGTCTCCACTGATAATTTTATAATTAAATGAAAAAATTGGTAGTAGAAATTTTTAGTGTCCTACCAAACGCATTTCTGTTCTTTTTCTACTCCAGTAATAGAAATTTTGTACAGTTACTAAATGCGTTTTTTTTTCTCAAAAACTCATTTAGGGAATAGAAATAGAAAAAACTATTTCTAAACAGAAACATTACTAAACAGACCCTTAATATCTCAAGTATTTTCGCTAACATACTTGAAACAAACTGCTAGACATTCCATTGCTTTCATTAAAGTACAGAATATTTCTAATGAAGTACCTTCTACTGGAAATAGCAAAAAGTCGAACACTCTTAAGGTAATAATACTCAGTTCCAGCGTTGGGTCACTCTTCTTCATGTGGTAAAAAATATTCTAACTCTTAGGAGGCAGGAAGTCGATGAAGTTGAAGATGACTACCCAGAACAATTGCCGGACTACCTACAAGGTTCACTTATGATGATTTAATAGCCGTCACTGAGGGTTTCGGTAAGAAACTCGGTGAAGGAGGTTTTGGATCTGTTTTTGAAGGCACTCTGATTGACGGCACAAAAGTTGCGGTGAAACGGCTTGATGGGGTATGCCAAATCAAAAAATCCTTTCTAGATGAGGTTGAAGCTATTGGCGACATTCATCATGTCAACTTGGTGAGACTCATTGGAATTTGCGCCACGAAGTTTTATAGGCTGCTAGTCTACGAGTACATGTCCAATGGTTCTCTCGATCAGTGGATTTTTTGCAAATCAAAAGGGTCGTTTGTGCTTGACTGGAAAAAGTGGAGGAAGATCATTTATGACATAGTTAAGGGCCTAAATTATCTCCACGAAGAATGCAAATGGAAGATAGTTCACATGGACATTAAACCCCAAAATATTCTCTTGGATGAAAACTTCAATGCTAAGGTTGTTGATTTTGGCTTGTCTAAATTGCTTGATAGGGACCAAAGCCAAGCGGAGACTACAGTGAGGGGAACTCCTGGATATATGGCCCCGGAGTGGTTGAGCACAACAATTACTGAGAAAGTGGATGTCTATAGCTTTGGTGTGGTAGTTCTGGAGATAATTTGTGGAAATAAAGTATATGACAGCTCTCAGAACGAGGAAGACAGGTATTTACTTGACGTTTTTAAGAGAAAGGCTGAAGGTCGACTTTTGGATATGGTTGACAACACTTGTGAGGATCTGCAACTAAATCGACCTCACGTGGTCAATATGATGAGGATTGCTGCATGGTGCTTACAAGGTGATTTTTTGAAGAGGCCTTTCCATGTTGACGGTCATCAAGGTGTTGGATGGAGATATGGAAATTCCAGATGATCTTGGTTATGACTTTTCACATCGCACCTTGAATATTGATGTAAGGGTTGGTCAGGAGAATGTTGATTTTGGTGCTCCAATTTTAGTGTTACCATCAATTCTATCCGGTCCACGGTGATCTTGTATTTAATTTTACTTTTGTTTCTCTTTTATAGTGTCGTTTGAAGTTTATGATCATTCCGTATTGTTGTCAGTTTGCCGAATTGCACTGTAATATTTTTTATGTGCTCGACGGTACAAAAACCATTTCCTCCGTATTTTTGTGGATAGTGAATTCAGACGATGATGTACAATCTAGTCGTTGAATTGCATCTCCGTAGACAGTAAATTGTTTTAGTTAAAGTGCTTAAAGTGAGGTGATTTTTCTTTTCTTGGCGAGGACCCGTCTTATGCAGAAGAAATGCAGAAGTCACATGGCATGAAGGAACTGAATGTAGTGAATTTAGTCATCATCACCGCCTGAAATTGCCATATTTGGAAAACCTGTTGATCTTCGTTGGCCATTTTGTGTCACTTGAAACATTGTACTACGCAAGACAGAGACGCCTGAATCTCTCTGTTAATGAAGCTGATTTTGGTTCTTACAATCAGATTCCCGGTTCTGGTGTTGGTCTTGCGCTATTGTTGGAGTCGGAAGCTGTAGCACTACCCTTTTCTCCCCTCCAATAAAACTGCAATCTTGCCATCTAATTAGTAAGGTAATTGACTGAGTGAAGCACTAGCAACAAGAGCTCCACGTATGTGATAAAACCGAAACAAACTTAGAGAATGCATCGAGTTTAATATGGAAAGCTCTTTCAAAGAATGTTATAAGCGAGATACAGCGAAATTAACCGATGAATTAGTAAAAAATACAGACTGTGAATCACATAGAGAAGCACACCGAGAACATAAGATAAGCCCTATTTCACAGGCTCTGCGATTACTAGCTTCAAATAGCAGAGTTTCTGTGAGTACACTCTATAAGAGCACCCATAGCTTCCACAAGAGTTAGCTACAACGCTGTAAAAAGAAACTCTTTGTTCATTCTACTTTCTTGAGTTTGACCGTACTGTGGGTTGCCTAATTGCACTGTAATGTTCTTGATAAGCTCCATGGCATGGTGACTCTTTTTCCCTACTACTGCAACATGTCATGCATCTCTGCCTTCACTCCGAATGTTCTTTGATAGAGGTCTGAATTATAGCATTGTTGTCTTCACTCTTCAGCATTCATGGGTGAAGGAGTGCTGTGACAAAAATAGGCCATTGATGACGTTCTGAATTCTTACAATGCTATCAGTTTTTGTTTTCCTTAGATTCTTTCTTTTTAACTTATACAAGTAATGTTTGCTCATTGTTATTAACAATCAAGATGAATTCTTTTAACTTCGATGTTTACATTCCTCTCTCGAATTTTCATATACTCCGTGCCGTCTATCCGCACATAGGGTGCATCTATGTCTAGTTTAAAAAACAGAAGATTTTCTGAATATCTTGATCCAAACAATTCTGAGTTCTTGGACTTCTCGATGGACCTTAAAATAGTTCCAGTTTCAACTTTAAGTTGTAACCTTGAAGTTGGGTTTCCTATTTTCATCTTCTGTTCTCATTTCTTTCCTGCTTTGTTTGATCAATCAATATCATATTCACCTTTACCCTATATTTTCCTTTCTTCTGCTACCATCCTTTTTCAATTTAGTCGATGCTGAATTTTATGATTATCCAACTACAGGCCTTTCTGCTAATTATTGGGTTAGCCACAATGCATGCTGATAATTCTGTGAGGTTCCTTTATGCTCTATCTGCCTTGATGCCCATTCATTTGCAATGACACAATTTATTTATGCTCTCTCTGCCTTGATGCCCATTCATTTGCAATGACACAATTTCTTTATGCTCTCTCTGCTTGATGCACTTGACCAATGCTGGCAATCTTGTGTTGTTCAATAAGAACAACACTCTGGTGTGGTAGCCCCTTTGATCACACTACTGACTCTCTCGGTCCTCGGAGAGAAATTGAGGGTAGGGCAAAAATGGAACCTCAGAAGTTTTGTGACAAATTCGACTGAACTGGGTTTACTATCACTTTCGCTAACCACCGAAGGTTTATTTGCTCAGACAGACAGATCCGCTGCAGATTTACTGCCCTTTTCCTGTAAATTTTCCTAATACAATAATGACTACAATTATATCGAATTTAAGGAAGGAGCCTTGTATTGTTTATGGATTATGTACAAAATGGTTCTTTGTTTTCCGGTTTCAATTCATCTGTGTAGTACATGAAGTTCGTATATGATGAACATTAGAGGGCGTATCAACAAGATAAAATGTGGACCGTATCGGATGATCTTCTAATACAAGATTTCGGCGATTGTATGTATCCAATGGTTTGTGGGCAAAATGGAATTTGTAATTTCGATGGACAGTATAGTTGTCCAACTTCAACTGTGGAGACAATCTACTTCAAGCCAACAAATTTTAGAGATCCTAAGCTCGGGTGCTTTAAAAGTGTTCCTTTCTCCTGCGAAGATTCTCATCTTCAGATCTTCTTGGAGCCAAGCATCTGCAGTATGGATACCCAAAGCACCCTTAGATTTAGCAAATACAGATAAAGGAGAGTTGCAAAGAGGCTTGTGGGAATAACTGTTCATCCACTGCAGCTTTATCCCGACATAAACCAGATGGCTAATATTCAGGTTCATGCTACTTTGAACCAGTCAGATTTACATTTTTGTAGTTCAGCTGGAATCTAATATATTTGAGGATGCAAAGGCAACAGCTTTGGGATGAACTTTAAGCAAACTCAAGTCTTGGTTCTCGCATTTCGTATTACCGCAATAACGTAATGCTATGTTTAGTATACAATGCGGCCGGTAAGTAATCGTCACGTTGGCTCCCATTCCAATACTGGAGTTTGCTGAGGCTCCAAAAGTTGGAAAATTTGCGCTCCAGAGGTCTACCCTAAGGAACACCGTTTTATTTCTTTATTCTGTAAAACAAACATGAAGTTACGATGAACACTCCATTGAATGTTCTTCATACACTACAAACCATATAATCATTCCCTCGTCAGCAAACTGTGTTTAGTCGAATGGATCTATCCGCGGGTCGTGTTCACTAGCCATAAGCATTCCAGTGCACAGGCAGGTAGGGCACATGACCTGGTTGCACCACAGAAAGTAGATAGTCAAAACACCGGAAACAGAATGCATAGAGCTCTTCCTACTATTAGATCAAGTTCAAGGAGCAACAACTAAGCTGATTCACACTTTTGACCACGCTTCAGATTGGTTCACGAGTTAGATGATAAAATGCCAGTGTTTTTTTATTAATAGCCCACAAAGTGACAGAAACTTAAGGCATGTTTCCATTAAACTGCCACTAAGTCCGAATTGTCCTAAGCTGATGCAATTAAGTAACAATTTAAACTTGGAACATAAAGCAACAGTATAAGATCGACGAAGAAAATGTCTTGTCTACCTTCCCAGCCCCAGAGCAGTTGGGACATCTCTCAGTTTTGGGAACCTGAAGAGGGCGATCTGCAGCACCAGTTACTAGAATGGGGTTCACACTCAAGCACACACCACTTGCTGAACATCTGGCACAAGCCAAGTATCCTGCCATGAGATCACACAATATGAATCATGAGAATGACACGGGTTATTTCAAGAGAGCCAGAGCAATAAACCATAAAACCATATCTTTATAGTGGCAAGCTATGCCAAGAAACAACTCAATACTCAACCTAGGCTCGTATTTGGACTTATTAGAAGATCTCAATTTGATTAGATAAGTAGATGAACCTGATGCATTTGGCAATATCACATAATAAATTACACTGTGGATCTTCATAAAAGACCTATCAGATTTTCCATGAAAAGCATTCAAATTAGAAAATCAAGTCAAATTGTAGAACTTCATGGAAAAAGACTTGCACGTGCAGAGCAGACTCCACGCGGTAGTAGCAATTTGCTAAAAGTGAAAACTGTCCAAATCAGGGTCAGAAGAAACTATCACGAGGAAGTAACACTAATATTCATTAGCAGATGTCTCGTTGTTCATGTTATTTGACAAAACAACACTTACCTGTTCCATTACAATATTTACACCTTTTCTTCTCTTGTTGCTCGACATTATTAGCTTCGATCAACATCAGGGTTGATATGACGCCAACAGCCCCACCAGAAAAAGATGCTACAATGGGGTCAACCTGACTGATTCGGCAATAGGTGATATCAATAAACCAGCACAAGGAATCAAGAGTTTCATCCCACATGTTTGTTTGGTATAAAATTAAAATTGTGAAAATGAAAGGTTTCATCAGCTCCATTATTAGCTTCATATGTCGCCAAGGTTGAAATCTGTTTTTGTACCTTAACTGCAAAGGCAAATGCATATTACGTATGAAATCTTCATAGGAGGTACCTCCCAAACCTAGTTTCAGCTCCAGCTGCAACGCAACATAAAACAGGACCCAGTGTCAGCACAATCACGCCTTGAGACAAAAAATTGAAAGTGCAGCTACATAGCTTTAAGAGGTCAATCAATCCTTTATTAACTTACAGTTGGTGCAATGAGACCACCAAATAGAATGGTCCCACCTATGAATGATAAGCTTGTCAAGTAGAGCTGTTTCAGTGTCTTCTGTGTCTGTCAAACAGACATGGATAGGTTAGCACTAAAGAACAGCAAATAGATGGGGACCATGGTGAATGAGTGAATGGAAGAACAAAGAACATAATAACTAGTGAGGCATTTCTCCCGTATATGATCCATAACTGATTTGCAGGATGGAATATTGATCATGTTTCCATAAGGAAAAAATGTCAGACTAAACAGAATTAGACTTGGAAGGTTCCTTTTATAGGACTTTCGGAGTTGACATCCCGAAATATTCTTGCATGCAACCGGTGCAGGGAAAACATTCTCCAGGCAAAAAAAAGTACTGTGCTTTTTAGACCTTGATAGCCCAAAACATTCTCACATACATCAAGTGCATATGTATGCAAGCAAGGATGCGGGACCTAGTGGAGCCCATGAGGGACCCCGCTTGATCCAGGATCTTTCTTGCTTGCTGGGTGGACAACGCACCTAGTTTGAGCATGACCCTTAAGATCTGTCGATCAGATAATACCTACCATGTGAGGGAGAAAAGGGATGGAAGATGGAATATCAGGCATCTCATCTGCTTCCTCCACACCGTTCTCGTTAATGGCTTTCACACTCTTTGTTCGTTGTTGAATTCGCAGTCTCCTCACCTAGTACAATGGATACCAAAATCGATATGAGGTCCAGTACACTACAACTTCGTTGCAAGTGCAACCAAGTTAACAGCCACCACAAAACCTGACAAAATTGAAATAACAAAAGATTGCATGAATAGAGTCTTTGAACATTTGAAGAAACATTACCTCCTCCATGAGAAGAAAAATTTTATTACGCCTACTCCTGATGTTGTCTTGAATTTCCCGCAATTGCATCTGCACGAAATCCTGCACAGTCTCGGGCCCTTCTATGATGCAGAAATTGCTGCAGAAAACTATCTCGTCTTAGGAACTAATAAAGCAACAGCATCAACAATCACCTTCACCCATTAAACTACTGTTACATATTAAGAAAAGAACAGCAGAAAGAAGATAAAAACTTTTCAAAAGAGAGACAATCAAGATAGTCACATTTTCCGTAGAATTGATAAAGCTCGAATATCTTCGTTCTGCCATTTCATATATATGAACCCATTTTTCCGTTTTAAGCAAGATTCATTTTGATCCGACACCCATGAATATTTACAAGATAAAGACACATAAAGAGGCAACAATGAGTGTAAATTGATGAAAAATCTCAACAAGATCAATCCATTCGGAGCTCTAAGGAAGGAAACTGATCGTTTCTATGCGGATTATAGCCAAACATAAATCCAATCCCTCAGTTAGGCCCAGAAGGAACAGACTAGAGCTAGGCAGTCCCACTGACATGGAAAAATTTCTGAATTGTGAGCATAAGGAAAGAAACAGAGCAAAAACTGAGAACCAGAGGGGACGACGAACCTCGAGCTCTGGTCGCCGGAAGCATCCCCAGAAGAAGAAGAAGAAGAAGAGGAAGAAGAAGAACAACAACAAGCGATTCGGAAAGGCGACGCGCTTCTGGGCAGAGCCAGTCGTTTGGGTGGCACTTCACGAGGGAACGCGAGGAAGGAGGGAGAGAAAGAGAAGCAAGCCATCGTCGCGTTGCGCTCCTGCTCTGCTCCTGCTTCATGCGAATGGCAGATAAAGCAGCATCGAGAGGGAGCTCTGCTGAGGTCTCTCGGTAGTAATGGAATCTTCTCTGAAGGAACCGATGGCGCTGGAAGCATCTCTCTCCGTGCGTCCTGCCTACTTCCACGACAAGACAACCCGACAAAAGCAGCCTGCTGGGCAAGGGAAACAACATTTTTGTCTATGTTGGTCATCGCAATTTCTATTCTTGTGCAATTAGAAGCCTCTTGTGTCTGTAAATTATTTTTCCAATCGAGTCGTTTTCCTCGCAATTTTACTCCCAAATTGAAGTTAACGTGTTGATGGATGACAACTGAGAGAATCGATTTTGCAGTTTGGTCGGAGCAAATAATTAATTTACGGTGACATCTGAGTTTCCATATCATACATTTTTAACAGGTATCGATAGAGGCGGCAGCTTTACTATGTAAACATCGAAGAACGAGGGAGTTGATTAGAAAATTTCTACGAGCTCGAGGGCTCGATTGCAAAAACTATAAGCTGAGGACTGAATTGGATGGCGTGAGGAGATGATTGGTTGGAAGTAGAAACCACATGACTAGTTTTCTTGGATCGAGCTCCAATAGTGTCCATGATAGGTTGAGTCTGGTGCTTGTTAAAAGTTACAATGCGTTGCCAAAATGGGTAAGCACCCAACAAAAATTAGATGATACATTGCTTTGGTTTGGTGGTGATCTCTTGCTTAGACTTACAGAGAGGAGTCCTTCATTCATCCATCTCCCAACCTGCCGTACAATGAAAAGGCAAAAACAAAAGAAAACATGATCCGATGGATAGCACAAGGTATTTTTGCTTGGGGATCCTTCAAGAGAGAAACAACAGCAACTCACTCTGCTTAACAGCATCCTGGTCCCAAAAATCACAGAGAATGAGGAAATTGTTCGACTTCGCATGTTTTTCGCTTTCCCTTCAATGCTTGTGTTCAAACCTAGCACCGATTTTCCGAGAAAAGAAAATGCTTGTTGTACGAAGTCAGAGATCACATTTGATGAATTTAAGGTTCAATTACATGAATAAATTAGTATGTCTCATATAAGTTGGCTGTTTTCTGCATATCCCCAAAGGAGTGGGTGAACAGGCATAAATCGCAGACAGTGCTGCAACTTAGATCACAAATTTCTGATCCTGCAGATGAAATCTTACTAAAGGCATTTACAATCTGGCAATTTCAACCGACTTCTTGAGGGCCGCAAGGAGACTTCTCATGATTCTCAGCTCGCCAGGAGGTGCTTGATCCTTCATCTGTCCGTTTCTTGTGGCTCGGAAGATCGGGACTGAACCATCAGTCGGTGGGGAAACCAGACAATCTATGTACACGAGGACCTCAGTTTGCCCATCTCCAATAGTAATGAACCCTAGCCTTGCTCCTCCGGGAATTTTATCTACCTGAAGCATGAAAGTTAGATCCTTGTCGTAAAAATTTTAGACCAACAACAAGCTGCATTATATTGTCGTGGGGAAATAAGTTGTACCAAACCTACAATCAGCATACGCATGACAATCACCTGATGAGCAGTCTAAAGACGGAAAAAGGGGTGTCACCATATGTCAAGAATTATGACAGAAGCCTGCAAGTGTTTGGATACTCTAGAGAGTCATGACAGAAGTAATGACAGAATTGGATTGGGGCGGCAGAAGGTGATCCAAGGGCAGAGAAGCAGATAAACACACTATAATGGATAAGATTTTGTTGGAATACCCACAAGAAAATACTTGATAACTAGATTTATCGCCTTCATTGAGGTTAGACAATGAATCCATCCAAAGTGAGTTGGATTTTGGGAGAAATAGCAAACCTTCGATTAATGAATTTACTAGTCATCCTTTTTATGGCACCAGTCCATTTCTTCCTCGCTGCCTTTTTAAGATAAACCAAAGAAAGCTAAAACATGTCACACATGATTGCATTTAAGAACCTGATTACTAACATGCAGCATGAATCGATACATGGCTTCTCTAATTGAGACGTCCTAGAACTAGAATTATACATATGTTCGTGCAGAGGAGATCATCCCCATTTTTTTTTAGGATGGTATCGGAATTGGCGTCATATTAGTTATGGGCCATCATGCAATTCAACCAAATACAACAGTGACATGAGTACAGAATGCCGAAGCCAAATGATATGTCGAAGGCAAACTTAAACTTGAGAAAGAGTTATACATGATCGTGCCCAGCTAGTATTTTGGTACACCATTGAACTAAGAGTACAAGCAACAGACAAAACACGAAAACTCAGATACATTAAGAACTTACCGACCTTAAGAGGCACTGGGAGGGGCAAATTTGCGCCTTGACAGAGACTGTTCGCCCACTGTTACATGGCCAATCGGTAATAGAATGAGATCAGCTCAAAAGCGACACTATAAAATCCATTCCACACCAAGCTGTGATCAATCCAATTGAAATAAGCGCATTTCGACTGTGATGAGGTGATCATTCGTGTCAAACACCAACAATGCCAAAGAACCAAAATGCACTCTCCAAGTTGGGACATCGTTTAATTCTACCACTTCGGACTTCGATACGAGGACTTCTGTTTCACTCTACCAACTCCTTTACCATCTATGTAACTTCCATCTCATCATTTTTTCAAAACGCGAGCCTATACTTGAAGCATTTACGACAGACACAGAGACTTCAAACGCACAACCGTCTTGCAATTAGCACGTTCTCGGATCAAAAGACACTAGCGGTCATCGTCGTCGTCACCCGTACCTGGAAAAGCAGGGTTTCGAACCTCTGGAGATCGGTGTCGGGGGGCAACTTCATGGTACCCAGAGAGACTCCCTCGCCGTCGTCCCCATCGGACGGCACGACGCCCCGCTCGTCCTCCGGCGAGGCCCTGGCGACGGCCGGCGTCGTTTGGTCTCTACGGCTAGACAGCGGAGCAACGAGCTTGAGGGACGAGCGCGAGGACGGGGGCCTGCTGATGGGCTGGAGGAGAGGAGGAAGGAGGAGATGACGCTGCGGACGCTGCGCCTGGGCTCGGGCGGATACGGTGGTGGTGGTGGTGGTGGTGGAGCTCGTGAACTGCGAGCAGCAGGCCATGTCTCTTCTTCACAGCGAGAGAGAGAGAGAGAGAGAGAGAGGTTGATACTTGCTAATGGGAGAGGATAATAAGCGGGAGCGCCCGTGTGGTGGAGGGAGCAACGGCGAGGACCGATCTGGAGTTCCAAATAATTTTGGATTAATATCACGAAAAATTCTAAATTAGTATATCCGTAATAAGTTTACTTTAAACTAATTTTTTGATCATCAAAACCTTCAAAATTATACATCTATGACAAATTTACCTCGAACTAATTTTTTAACCACCAAAAACCCAAAATCGATACACTTGTGACAAATTTACCCCCGTTAAATTATATTAATACCACGAAAACTCACAAAGTGGTAAATATGTGACAAACAGAGGGGTAAAACCTTAAACTGGCATATTCATTAATTGCCACGCGTCATCCAACTTAGCAATTTGACGGTAAAATTTAACGGAAACTAACGGAGGGTAACTTTGTCACGGGCGTACCAATTTGGGGTTTTTGAGGTATTAACCCAATAATTTTTACACCCCAATTTACTTATCTTTGGAAAAAAGAGAGATAATCTCCAATTTAAGAAAAATTACGAAAAATCCAAAAAACAAGCATGTAGAGATATATAATATACTTTGGTGTACGCCATTAATTCGAAAATCGGATCTCACATTGAATTCAATCCCAAAGCTTCGTTTATTTCACAAAAAATAACTTTTAAGAAAAAAAAAAGGATGTATGATATCACAAATAAATCCATATTGACATCACCTAATGATACTTGGGCTTTCGTTAAATTTTTTAGGGTAACAAGATATCGAGATAGCTTATGAGTCGATAATATGAACTTTTATCATATATTTCAATGAAGAAATATAAAATTGCTTTTATTTTCAGTGATCCAAAGATATTCAATTGTAAATTAAATTATAGGAAATTGCATTACATATAAATGTATTTACTATATCAAATCACATCAACACTCACACTATTAAGCGCCACGTCACCTAGTACATCATCTGCCACATCATCCACCAGGTCAGCATCCACGTCCTATGACTGCCACATGTCGCCGTTTGTCAGTCCGGTCAGTCACGTTTCGCATGTCAGCACAACTTCAACAAGCTGGACGTGCTAAATGGTCTGGCCAGTTTTACTAAGCCGGTCTCACACTTTTAACTGTTCATCTCAATCTTTTCCAAATTAGTTTTGCACGTTTTCGGACCATTTCTGTAGGTTTTAAAGTGTCTTCTCTACATTTCTTATGTCAGAAGTGGGGTAACAATTGGCAAGCAGATCCCAAGCTTTCTTTATGGTAGCAACACGACCAAATTGAAGTTTGATAGATGGAATCAAAATGTTGCAAGCACATTAAAATTTGATGATTCTTACTTACTGTCTCATTCCTCCAGGCGATTAACAAAATTTTCCTTAGTCTCACTAGTATTCTGAGTGAGTTCACGAGCATTTCTAGTGACACAACGCCGAAGTAGGCATCCTCATAAGATATGGACATCTCTGGTAGTCATTCGATGTAGTTCAGTCCATTCAATTGGTCTAAACAGAAGGAAATCTCAAATGTATTAAGGAAAAAGACACCATTTGTGACATAACTTTTGAACGGTACTCAATTAAATACCATAACTTTTTTTTCAATCACTTCAATGCCATAAGGATCGACTCGACTGAATAGTTGGAATGGATAGCATGTTTTCTCGTTGGCAAGGAAAGAGACAAATGCATGGCAGAACCCTAAGATCAAGCCTATGCCCTATTCTAATATCAAGGCTAAGCATATGAGTGCATAACTTTTTTACCGCTCATTTGAGTGTCATATAACATTTTAATCAATTACTTGAGTGTTATAACTTTTTTAAAAACGTTCATCACAAGTGTCACGCCACATTGGATTTTCAATACGTAGGTGAACATTATTAAAATTATGGCACTCGATTGAAAGTTGTGACACTCAAGTGAACGTTGTTAAAAAGTTATGTCACTCAATTGATCGAAAAATGTTGTGACACTCAAGTGAGCACCATACGAAACTTATATCACTTGTGCCGTTCTTATCCCCAAGTTTATCCATTATAATGAAGATGCGCACCTCGAATAGCAAAAATCGACAAGAGAGGTAGCGTAAACGGCATTGTAAGCATGGTGTAATATTTCAATATTTGAACAGATAAACTCGGCACCAAGCGTTATAGCCCACTGGTAAAGAGCTTGCTCATCTCCCATAGGGTTGTGAGTTCGATTCACATAATAAACGAACATTATCATCGCATATGCATTCTATTTTGCATTTGAAAGAGTTACTGGCTATTATATTAAATAGTATTTATACCATGAAAAATCCCAAATTGATATAACAAATTTATCTTACACCTGTAACAAATTTACCTTTTATTAGTTTCCGTTAAATTTTACTGTCAAATTATTGAGTTGGATGACTCGTGACTTGTGACAGTTGATGGATATACCAGTTTGGGGTTGTACCTTTCATTTACCGGTTTGGGATTTTTCGTTATATTAATCTAATTTAACGGAAACTAGATGATGGTAAATTGGTCGTAAATGTACCAAATTTTAGTTTTTGGTAGTTAAAAAATTAATTTGTAATAAATTTATCACATGTTTACTAGTTTGAGGTTTTTTGTAGTCAGAAAATTAGTTTTGGATAAATTTGCCACATGTATACCAGTTTGAAATTTTTTGTGGTATTAACCCTAATAAATAATTGCAATTCAAATCCAACATTATGCAATTTTCATTATCGATATATTTATATAAGGCTACGTTTGTTTCGCGGACAACATTTTTTGGAAAAACATTTTCCTCATTTTCCGGCATTTGGTTCTCTCAGTAAAATAAGTCAACAAAAAAGATTTTCCTACCAAAACATAAATTTTGGAAGGTGATTTCTTTTTAAAAAATCAAAAATCATTTTCCAAAATATGATTAAGTATTAGCACTTGGACTAGAAACTTTGCGCTTAGGCACGAGAACCTCAACGCTCACTCTTGGGCGGGACTCAAGCGTTGTGGCTCGGCTCCATCTAGGCCGTGCCCAAGACTCTAGCGCGCCTGGGTCCATCAAGGTTAGGCCCTAGACACCAGTGCCCGTGCCCTAGTTGCCACACCCGTTGATATTGAGACCAAGCCTTGGTCCTCGAAGCCCATGCCCCGATCCATCGAGGCCAAAAATATTTTAAAATTTTATTTTATTTTTTATTTTCTTTTCTTTCTTTTTCCTTCTTCCTCCAACGATCGCAACGTGTTCTCGCTCCTCGAGTTGGCAATGGTGACGTGGACCTCCAACTAGATCGTCATCGCTACATGATCGTGTTGGTGGGGGCCATCTTCTTCACTGGGCCCCTTCTCATGGGCTCGTCCCCAACTATGCCTCCTTCTAAATGGGTCGCTTCGCCAATGTTGGTGTCGGCTACGCCCTCACAATTGCCGTCTACATTGTCGAGGTCTTCCATGCCTTCTCCCGTGGCTTCCTCGCCTACTTACTGGAGGTACTAACTCATTTTTTTTCTCTTTTTTTTCCCTAACTTTGTAGCATCTTTTTCATTTTTTTTTTGTCATCAATTTTTGTCTTTTTCATGTTGAGCGTGCATTCTTCTTGTTATGGAAAAAATTAAAGTTAGATAAATACATCATAGTATATTTCTCATTTAAAAGATGTGCTGCCAAAATTTTTTTACCAACATATTATCTAAATGAGAAATCTACTATGACGTACTTCAAACTTTAATTTTTTGCATAACAAGAAAAATGGATGTTCGACATGGAAAAAGACAAACATTAATAACAAATAAAAAATGAAAAAGATGCTATAAAATTAGGAAAAAAGAGAAAATAAAATGAGTGAATACCTTAGGGAAGGAGGCGAGGAAGCCGCCGGAGAAGGCTGGGAAGACCTCACCGATGTAGATGGCAATCATGAGGGCTTAGCTGACGCTGACACAAGCAAAATGGCCCAATAGAAAGGAGTATACCCGTCAGGATTTCACCTACACATTGGCTATCTTCAGGTTCTTCTATAAGTATACCACTGCTTCGCTAATCACTCTATGGGCCTGTTTGGCACTTTGCCAAATAGTAAAAATTTATGTTCTTTTGTTCCCAGAATCAGTTTGGGAGCAGAAATCCGTTTGTTAAATTTTTTGTGCCCGGGCACAATTTTGCAAAAAATTGGTCTCAGAATCAGTTTTGGAACAAAATCAAGAAGCAAAAAAAAGTAGCTTCTTTATTCTAGAACAATTTTTCTATTTCTTATTCTTCTTCATTTTCTTCTTTTTTTTGGTTTGTTGTTGCTCTTCGGCCCGCCGGCGACTGGCCACAGGCCGCTGGCGACCGGCCGTAGGCCAGGGCCGGCGAGGGCGGCTCACGGCCGCGACGGCGAGGCCTCGCCCAGCCAAGGCGAGGCCGACCTCGCCGGCCCTGGCCTATGGCCGGTCGCCAGCGCCAGCGACCAGCCTTGGCCAAGGAAGAGAAGGGAAAGAAAGAAAGAAAAAAAAAGAAATAAATATTAAAAAATTCAAAATATTATTAAAATATTATCAATAAAATGAAATTTTGTGTAGTTACCAAACGCATTTATGTTCTTTTTCTATTCTAAGAATAGAAATTTTGGGCAGTTACCAAACGCCTTCAAATGCTTAGAAATTGTTTCGCATTACGAATAAAAAGAATAATTTCTTACTGGAATGCTCCTAAGCACGAATGGTTACCATTCAGTATTCTATGTCTACCCAAATTACAAAAAAAATCTTATTTCTCATTACAAAGTTCTCACGTAAATCATAACCATATACAAGAATTGAAAAAAAATTATTATGTGCCCAATTTTCTTCTCTTTTTTCTTTGAATTTATTATATTTAACTTGTATGATTATAAGATAAGAATGATGAGAAATAATATGTGCCATGGATTTTATCCGAAGTTAACTTGCTTGGATAAATAAAAGGAGAAAAAAAGTTGGTTACGTTATCCGAAAATAAGCATTCCTTTTTCTTTTCTTCTTTTACTTTTTTTTCATTTCCTATACATTAAAAAGATGACCATTGGCTATAGATCTATCATTTTTATCAGTAATAAAACTAGACAAAAAATGCAATGACTAAGATATAACTTAATTATTATTTTTTTGTGATGGAACCAAGTTGCAAAAGATTGATTCATTATATGGAAAATTGATTCCCACAAATATATGAGCTTTTGAGTGCGTCTGGTTCAACTTCCTCAAAGGAATGGGTTTTTGGTTTGTAGAGAGAGAGAGAGGACTGCAGAGGAGGTCATGAAGACCACAATGGCACAGGCGAAGGCGTACTTATTACGGCACAACTTTGTCGAAGACTTGGTTACACTAGTTATATAACTAATGTCATTGATTATCAACTAAGTTTCACATTCACACTCTTTATCCAATTATGAGCCCCAAATGTTCTTCTCTAACTAAGTGTCCATGCAATATTTTTATGTGTACTATGATCTTTATGTGTGACCTCTAGGCAAAATGACATAATCGAATCACAATCAAGGAAAACGGCATAAAAGAATCGAAACCAACAAATCAAAGGCGGTTATAAAAAGAAACTAAAAAATAACTCAATGCAATGTCGGGTAAAGTATATGATGTGGCCTCATTACAAACCCCGCCATGAGCTTGACCCAATAAAAATCGGGGAAAGAATATACACTGCCTCATTATTATACCCCGAGACATGAACCCAGTGAGCTAAGTACCTAAAATTGAAATCGAAGTTTAATTTTGATTAACAGAAATGTCCTACTAAAGATCTTCACCAATGATATTTAGGTGAACTATTCCCTTAAAGTAGATTTAACATAAACGATAACAATTTTTTTATAATTTTATTATTGCTCTATTTTTTTCTTTTTATTTCTATCTTTTTGTTTTTATTTATTTTTTAATCTCAAGAAGTACTATGCAGGAGATCAAATAACCCTAAATAACCAAGAAAAAGGTAACATCCTAAACCATATGAAATTCGATTAACCCCTAAACACACGAATCTCATCTTCCTATTCCTTTTTACCCAGAAACACTTTTCACTCTCAAAGTTCAGGAAGCTCACATCTCTTCAAACCTCCATTTGGACTTTCTCTAGTTCTTGCTCAACTCACTCATCATTCTTCATCCGTTACCTCATGTATTCGCATCACACAACCCATGTATTCGGAAGTAATTGTCATGTACATACACAGAAAAGACATATACACACAGAACACATGCAGACACAGAACGCATGTATATGCATATACTGGAAATGTATTCACCCAAACGACACGTAACACAGAGAAGACACATTCAGCAAAGACAATCCGCGATCTAATACTTTCAGATGAACGCGTAGGCGGGAGATATCTCATTGGCTCTCACACAAGATTGATATAATTCTTCATTTCAGTATTATATTCCTAATGAATTCTCCAGCGATAACCATCAAACTTTCGCGAATCAGCACATTGACATTATCAGAATAATTCTGGAGAACCGAGCTTAGCTTAACACATGCAAATGTGTGAGGCATATTAAAATCGAGATTCTCGAAAGTGATTAACAAAAGAATTCATCTAGTCTATGCAACTAGCACAGTGAATCAATCAAACGGACGAGGTCATCTCAGTCGGATCTGAGGCTATGTTCATTAGAAACGCAAAATTTCAGCAAACAATTGGTGAGCATTGAGACAGAGAACAACACGATGACGAATTAGTGGAAATCAAAACCGGTTCAACCTGAAACTATCACGGACAAGTCGTAATCACGAATATAAGCTCTGACACGTGCGATTTTCAAGCTAGCAAGAACTAGATTCTCAGCCTCTGCTTTCATACTCATACACCTAAAACAGAAGATACTCAGTTCGATCTAGCAAAAGGTGATTACCTGCAGCGACGACCGATCGGCTTTGAACAAAACAATACCGGCGGTGATCTAGAAGGCTTGAGAATCTGCGAGGGGGTTGATCGCCGCCACTATTTGAACTCTTCAACAATGGCGCTCCAAAACCAGGGACGAGCAGGGAAATTCCTGCTCAGCTCGGCAGTGACGAATAGCCACCGTAGGCGGTGGTTACAACGTCCTGATATGGAGTTGAAGGAAGCGAAAGTTGATGGAGGCGAGGGCTATCAGTCGCCTGCAAAATCGCACGCATTGCATATCTCCACTCGGAATTTCACAGAGCATATACGACTGACAATTGAACAACCTTTCCATTGTATACAATTTCTTTCGTCATATCATTACTTCTGACGATGGGACACTATTACTCTCCGACAAAAAAATTACACTCTCGGCCTAACACATAACTTGATATCACTGATAAGCTGTCGTAACTTCAGCGATCAAAAACCACCACAGTTAGAGAGAAGAGATTACTCGACCTTGAGTGAATTGGGAGGGTAACATCTGCCGACATGGATGACCTCGCCGTTGCGAGAGCTCATGCCGGTCCCCAAGGTCGGCCGCCAATTCGAGCACCAGAACGTCTCGACCTCTGAGAGAGCGAGCTGCCCTACGACCACCCTGCGACCCGCCCTTCTCAACGGAGGCTGAAGCTTCTGGTGAGCCTGACGGGTCTTCAAAACTCTTTGCGAACAGTCGAATGCCTCGGCGAGGTCTGCAAGATCAAACAACCAGCGAGAGCTTTCTAGGATGTGAATCAAACAAATCAGCTATGGCTTCCAACGAAAGATATAATAAACAGAGACAGAGACAGAGACAGAGAGGTGGAAGGAGAGAGTCTTATGGGCGTCGGTTAGATGATGAGAGCGCTTCTCTCGCTTCTTTAGGGGGTTTTGTTTTTTTTTTTTTGACTTATGCTTTCTAGGATCGTAATCGTAATCTGCGGATGCGATTTGACAAAAAAACAGAGCAAGAACGTACCCAAGTCAGTGACCTGGTTTCAGGCCTCGACGGGTAGCTAAATCTGACGGAACGAAAAGCACCGACAACAACGATTCGCGCCGGGTGTAGTTTGAAGGCTCGAGATTAGGACGCTTCGAACTCTCTGGCCCGGAAAAACAGAGACGCGCAAAGGAGTGGCGGCGCAACGGCGATGATGCGGCCGTCGGCGGTGGCAGCAACCACTAAGAGACGAACTAAGGAGGACGCCGTGAAACGCCAACGGGATGAAGAGAAATCACCCCTGGAGAGTATTTCCCTCTGCTCTGCTCTCTCTATCTCTGGCCTCCCTCAAGCGGATGTATATATATCACATTATCCGGTTTCCTGGGTACCCTCCTTAGCATACCAATCCTTACGCCCACGACGGTCCGTTTCGTGAGCGTTCTCAAAAGACATATAGCAGATCTAATGGTGCATGTAGATTGGTGAGGTGGTTACTGCTCTCTCTTTTACAAGAAAAATCTTCACTTACTCGTTACACCGTCTGGCTATACGCACTATATTATTACTATTACTATTGTTATCATTAAAGAGGATTTTGAGAATTAATGATGCGTGATAGATTTTGTTTGGATCCTCTTGTCAAATAATCTTAACAACCTTTCAAAGTGATTCTCATCTTTTTCATGGGTTTTTAATTGGGAAGAGAAACCATGATAAATTAGTGTCTTATCTCTTTTTAGAATGTGCAGCTATAATTTTAAACGAGGAAACTAAGAGATTTGTGGAAATATCTTGCTTAGAGGGGGAAGCCAAATCGTCTCTTTCAGTTCTTATAAGTAGCATCCCCATGAAGCCTACCAATAATCTCATCGTTTTTTCTTCGAATTCGACAAGATTTTTACAAAGTACAAACTAAAATTCTTAACTCCCGAAATTTTTAAAAAGATGGGTCGATGAACCATCCTCGGCAATTTATCTGGCTGGAAAATTTTCCATGACATTTGTTAATAATAAACTCATTACAAGTCATCTTTATGTTGATTTCATCCTTATGCAAGTGATTTATTCACCAGAGAGAGAAGAAGATCGAAAAATAAAGGGAAGAAAATAATCCCAACATGTCCTCTTCTCCACCACCCACCTACATTGCTGGAAACAAGAACCTGTATGTATAATGCAGCACAAGGATCATAGGACACAATTTTAACCGTGCCTCTGACAAAATCAGAGGTTTCTTCACCTCACATTGACTGGGAGAGGTAGGGAGGAGTTTTCTCTTCTATTGTCACTCTGTTTTTTACAATGCACACGAACGCGTATACACACAAGAGCAGACTTCGAAGAGCACCAGCTAGAAGCCTCTTCTGAATTTGCAGATCATCACAACGTGATCTGTAAGAATTATTTTCTCCATTAGCTTCATCCACGCAAGGCCCGGTGTAATGGCAACCATGAAGTCACCGGATGAATTGCCGAGTAGATAAATAAAATCCGGCAGCATTAGTTGTTGCTCTGCGGGTGATGAGGACTCAACCCGCTCCTAGCCATTCCTGGACACCCTACATTGTCAGGAGTAAGGGGGGGACACACTGGATATAACCACTCCCTTGGTTGGGGACTGTGCCACCCTGCTTTCGGTCGATACACTATTGAGAAGTCCAATCACAAACTATGGGATATGGGTTTGCACCATCCGGAGGAACAGGATAAGTTAATTGGATCAGGAGGCCTAATTTCGCATGAGATCTCCATTTGCTTCTTTGTCCACGAAATCATCTAGTTTCATGATCAAATCCCAGTTGTCCTTTGTGAAATTACATTCAGATTATATGACAGCACTAGAAACTTGTTGAAACCACCGAGGGGATTGTCTATATCCAACAGACTGACCATTTTGATCCATATTTGGATTTGGGTCGACTATGGTCTTCACATAGTCCAACTGCTCCTTGCTCATCCTGACTTTGTCCTGCAAAAAAGTATATGTTGGTTAAAGCTTTTCAAGCTCTTGTATTTTAAAATCTATAGTTCCAAACGAATGAGTCATATTATAAGCACCTTCTTCCAAATCTAAGCTTCAATGACTCGGCAGACCGAGGACACAACAAAGTAACTGAGGTTTGGATTCTGTAGGAGATCTATGAAGATTAGCGGAAAGAACGTATTCGTTCTTCTGTTGTTGGTCTTTACATAGATGCAAGTTCACATGCATCACCTGTTTTTTAGGCAAATATTGCAAAATATTATAGTACTAGTGCTAAGGGTGCGTTCAGTTCGGCTTTGCCGAAGCCTTTGGGCCTTAAAGGCTCTTATGCAAATGGCCAATTGCATTTCCAAAGCTCTCAAAATTTAGTCCAAAGGAGGTTTCGAGGTACTTAGAATGCTGCATTTTCATAATGCAAGTCTTGAAGTTAATAATTGTTTTTATTCCACTCTTATACTGTTCATCTTCCCCGTGGTTTTCATAGTGGAGCTAGAAAAAATTGTGAAGTCGCTTGTCCCAGGACCAGGCAGTTTGGTCCTCGGTTCCAGAAACTAGGAACATGTCCTCCTAATCCGATTCCCAGTTCCTAGGTGGAACCGGACCAGACCGGAAACCGATCATCCCTGTCTATTAGTAATATACATGGCAAAAGTTCCAAAAAAAAATAATGGACTAGGACAGAAATATATTGCCACTTCTCTAAAAAGTATGTCAAAGAATCAAGATTATAGTAATAGCATCTAAAAATAATGTTATCCCGAGTTTATCCCATCTCTTCTATAACTGAGAAAAACATGTGTATTTAATTAGGACAATGTAAATTTAAAAACTTTATAAAGCAGTTTTGTCATTAAACACGTTTCTATTCGCATTAGAGAATTCAAAAGTATTTATTTGTACGAATATGATGTGATATCATCAAATGTTTCATACAAGAGTGATAAATGGCAAGTTGCATCTTACATGATGTATGAGATATGTCACAAATATAAGTACCTTTTATCATAGTAGAATATAGTGTATGTCTTATGCCGGTACAAATTGTTTTACAACAAAACGAGTACTTTCTGTAAGTACAGAAAACATATGCCCGTTTCCTCATTAAACTGATCAATTGGACAGTAAAAGAAGTCTCTGGATCAATGAAATTGTTAATTTATTAGTTCTATCAAGTGAACAGGCTCTGTTTGGAAAAAGGAGAAAAAAGAGGGAAAAGAAAATGAGTGTGGGAAATGAGGAGGAAGCAGGAAAAGAAACGAAAGAAAATAAAAAAATATTTTAAAAATTATAATTTTTTAAAATTACAAAATTGTCCATGTCAAAGCGGCCGTGCCACGTAGGACGACCGGTATCCATATTAGTAATTTCCAATCAAATGAGATTTTCATTACCAAAGGACGAAAAATATTTTTTAGTTCGTTTTCAGGTCTTAGCCAAACACTGAAAAATATTGTCATTTTCCTGAAAAATGACTTCTCAGAAAATATTTTACAGAAATATCACATTTTTTGATAAACAAACGGAGCATAAATCTCGTAATATATTCTGTTTCTTACACCAAGTCCTAGATAGCATATCTATGATCTAAACAAAAACTGAGGCTATCTTATAATAATGAATCATGACTAGAAGAGAGTACGGGTGATTGGTTTAGTGATGGGTTAGTACCTGGTTCTAGAATCACCGGTTTTGGTTTTTTTTTTTTTTTTTGGTAAGGAAATCACCGGTTTTGGTTCGTTCCTGGTTCTACCAAGAATCCAGCCCACTTTTTTATTTTGTGTAAAAAATGAAATTACTATAATAAAATATAAAAGTTGCACCATTCTACTAATAAAAACATATTTTAGTTAAGTGATTATGTGGTTTCTTCGTATTGAAGGCCATAGTTGTATTCTTGATGGATACAAAAGTAGTTTTAAAAAATATTTTTCATCGGTTTGCTTTTCAATACCGATGCAACCGATTCCTTGAAATCAGAAATCAAATCAGTCCTACGCCAGTTGCATGTTCACGGAACAAGTAACTGAACCGATACTCCGTAAAAGTGGAGGCCGGTTCGGTTCGGTTCCCCAGTTGAATCGGATCCATGTACACCCCTAAAAGAGAGACAATTGTGCGGGGCCTAATGCTCAACCTTTTGATTCTGGTGTCCCCGGGCGCTAACTCTTCCCTTCCATGAAGTCTCCTCTGTCTTTGGGTGAAAACACAAAAACAAAAACTTCACTTAAAAAGAAAAAAAAAAAAAAAAAACTTGTGCTCTTCTTCTCCCTCTTCGGTTTTTATATTTGGTAGGACATTTTTATTTTTCTCTTTTGACCTCAGACCAACCGTTGGGTTGAGTAAACAGTCAATATGTAATAAAAGGCAATTCTTGAAAAAGATTTATGAGTTAAATCAAATGTATACACATAGTTCGGATTGTTACAACTTCTAGCAGATGATTCGTCTTCTCTGATCTCTTCAACAAAGCTCGGTACAGCTTCAAACTTTGAAACGATACCAAATCATACTCGGCAACTGGAGCATGCCCTTACCGAAATCTCACTAGAAGTTCATGTGATCCGAGGATAGTTGACATGAATTGAGCTCAAAATTTGCCGGGTCCATGGGATGATAATAATGCGATCTCTTTCAGGTTTGCCCACGAAACATTCGCCCGATTGATGATCCCCCGAATTCTTGGACGACTATACTTCTACCGGCCTTTGCAAAGGACAAGGAGAAGGAATATATCGATCGAGATCGTAGTCAAAAGCTTGCGCATTACACGTGGCTTGTAACAAGAGCAAGACGGCGTCGACTACGGTCGTCCTCCACGGTCCCGTCGAAGAAGGCGACTTATCTTATGGGCAACGAACTTAATGCCGTGGACGAAACTGGTGATGATTTTCCGCTTGACGGATCCTCTTCTTGGAGGGACAATGCAGCAGCTATGCGCCCTTCGGGTTCTCATCGCATCCAACGATCCTTGTGGACTCATCGTTCTCTTCTGATCTGTTGGAAACATACGCGGAAAAACAAATACAGAACACAGAGATTTACGTGGTTCAATCACAAGGTGATCTACGTCCACGGGCGAGGCAAGACAAGATTCCATTATAATCAAAGAGAGTACAGTTTTCAGAAGTCGAAACAACGACAAAAGCTCACGGATCACAAAACTCTCCGAAAACAAAATTCTCTCTGTATACATCAATGAGAAAACCTAGCCGCGGTATAAATAGTGCTCCCCAAAAAAATTTCTCGGAGGCTATGCCCCCGAAACCATCGAGACATTTGTTCGCTTTCTCCAGCTCGAGCAAACCGCCATAGAGATTTGTTCGCTTGCTACGAATTGGGCCTATCGGCCCAACCCTCCGCGTCGCGAACTATATCTCAATTTTTTCTCCACTTTCGGGTCGCACAAAAAATATGTCGGATCGGGTGATAAACAGGACCGAGTACATATAATTCAAGACATATTTAACAAATCTCCACCTTGGCTTGAATTTCCCAAAATAAAACAATCAAGAAGCCGAACACATTCTCTCGGCATCCCTAAGCCTACGTGAGCTAACTCGATGTAGGAAACAAGGGCTGCAACGAAAGAACATATCCACTTCAAAAACAAATGTAGAATTGTCATTTACCTCGCCACCAAAGCCCCACAAGGGGCAAACTCAACCAAGCATGCCAATCAAGTTCAAGCAATGCTTAAACTTGTTGGCGTGGATCTAACTTAGTCAACATATCGACAGGATTGTCACCTGTACCAATTTTCTTTACCGTCATATTTCTCTCAGCAATTGCCTCTCGAATAAAGTGATATCTGACATCGATGTGCTTAGTCCTTTCATGATATGCTTGATTTCTAATCAAGTATATAGCACTCTGATTGTCACAAAAGACAACCGAATTGTCTTCCTGCTGGAGCCCAAGTTCCTGAACAAGATTCCTTAACCAAATACCTTCTTTCATTGCTTCTACTGCTGCCATATACTCTGCCTCTGTAGTAGACAAAGCAACTGTCGACTGTAAGGTTGACCTCCAACTAATAGCCGAACTAGATAGTGTGAAAAGATAGCCAGTTAAAGATCTCCTCTTATCGAGATCACCTGCATAATCGAAATCCACA